TGTGTGTGTGTGTGTGTGTGTGTGTGTGTGTGTGTGTGTGTGTGTGTGTGTGTGTGTGTGTGAGAGAATCTCAAAATCTTGTACATGGATTGATGACGGTCGATTTCCCAGAGACTCCTTAAAATGACCTCAGTCCTTAAATTAATGAAAATGTTCTAAGCTGAGTAAAAACGTCTTTTTACTTTGACCTGCAGTGACCCTGCAGTCACAGCATCAGGCAGAGACGAATGAATCATTGCTCCACATGATCATTCCTCATGAATGGGTTAAATGCAAACTGCACCATATTTTATTTAATATATGAATATTTTGACGTACAGTGAGCACAAGCTCGCTGAAGTGGCAAAGACAAAGAAACTGGGGGAGGCAAACTGACTCCACAGGCTCCTCTGTAGAATAAACGCTCTCTCCTTTAGTTACACAGATTTGTTGGTTTATCACACAACTGATCACAAAATCAATATGGGCAACGTATTGGGATTGCATCATATTGTAAGTTTCCCTAATGTTAAAAAGCACTGTCACCTGTAATAGCTGGACTCTAATACCTGAGAAAGACCCTCCACAGCATTTCCTTCTGTGTTGATTCCTCTGAGCAGCAGGAGCACGTGTCGTCCTTGGAGGAGAAGCTGCGCTCGGTGCGTTCATCCCTCCAGGAGGTCCAGCTGCACTGTTCCCAGCAGAAACAGACCATCTCTGAGCTGCAGGCCAAGAACAGCCAGCAGAGCATCGAGATGGACGGACTACGACGCAGGATAGAGGAGCTGCAGCAGGTCAGGATGCACCAGCTGCCTGTTGTACAAACACCACTCCCACTGTAGCTCCTGTATCTACAGCAGAGTTTGGGCCTAGAACAGGTTTCAGCTGCCACACCTCTAACTCCCACGAGCAGAGGTGGCTAAAGTACACACAGTGTTTCCATACTTGTGTTAAATGTTACTCAGTAACAGTGAAACAGTACAGGCTCAGAAACGTACTCAGAGTAAGGACATTACTGCCAGATGCTTTTGTGGAGAGCTAACTGAAGCTCATGCTCTGTTATCATTACAATCAAATAATATTAGCACATGAAATGAGTACTAGAGGTGGGTCTTTATAATTGATTCATCGATTAAAATCGATTCTGGCTTGGATAACGTGATATCGATTCATTAAAATCCTGAATCGATTTTTAAATATAAATTTATTTTTGCCCGAAACGCCAGAATCTCAGGTTAAACCTCACAACATTTCAACCACCAAACAGCTAAAACAGTGAATGAGAGCAGGTACAGGCTTCTGCACAAAGACGTAAACACACAGCGCGGACCCGCCGACGCATCAGGATCAGTGCGATGTGACTTTCTCACCGACGGCACGGTCGGGGCTGAAAGCCGACAGCTCGCTGATTCTGGTGTTTCGGCAGGTCGAGCTTTGTGTTCACGCCCTTTTTGAGCTGATTCTGAAGCTGTTAGTTTGATCTCTCTCCAAACAATATTGACCGAACCAGCAGCAAAAGAAGATCCAAACTACGCTTCACATAAACAACAACAACTCTGACTTTTTCTGTTTTGCTTCCACCAGGATAAAATCACACTTCATGTAGAGCTCTCTCTCTCTCTCTCTCTCTCTCTCTCTCTCTGTCTGTAGTTTCCCGTCTAAAAATCTGTTTTCTACATTATTCGCTTGCTTATTGCACAAGTTGATTACAGGCTGTCGGCCGCTGTTTTTTTTAATGGTTTTCTTTTGTTTTTGATCTACTGCAGAATATTTTTATAAAATCCCAGGCCAGGAAAATCTCCTTCATGCTTTTCTGTTTTATCCTCAGCTACTTTGACACAAAGGCCTCTGCTGTGATGCTCACACCTTTGATAAAGTCTCACAAGTGTCAGCTTTCTTTTTATAGATATAAAAACATGGAAATGTAGTGATGCATGATCTGAATTATAATATTTCTGACTGAGGCAAAATTTCCCCGATTCCAATAGAATAGAATTGAATCGAATCGTGGATCGAATCGATTCTAGAAATCAGTGATGATACCCAGCCCTAACGAGTCCAGTCGGGGTCAAAGACTGGCAGTACTGGCTCCATGTTGCTGTTGTGAGCTGCAGCAGGTCTTCTTTCTCTGCAGGCTGTGATCAGCTGACCTGTGCCGCTGCTGCTCTGAGGTTTACTGCTCTTTGATTTGATCTAACACAAGCTATCTTGACTGATTTGCTCTGCCTTCATGCACAGTCCTCTGCTGCAGTGCTAGCTTGATGCTGAAGCACTGCAACCACCATGTTTGGACATCTACACCAAAATTGCCATTCCGGACCATTGCACCTACTTTAATACCCGAGCATAGCTCCATAAATGATACATCAATGTTATGATTTTGACTCCTTCATTTCTTTGTAGGCAGTAAACCTCGGTGATGCTAGATATACAGCTAGCTTGTGTCAACAGGAAACCAGAAGACAGGAGCAGCCCTGAAAGCACAGCTACCATAGTGTTGGCTGCATACAGCCAAGCATCTGTGCAGGCTGTTGACTGATGTAGCAGACCGAACCAAAGGCCACATATAGGGGTGTTGAACTGCAGGCGTCGAGGGCCGGTGTCCTGCAGGTTTTAGATCTCACCCTGGGTCAACACGCCTGAATCTAATGATGAGTTCATTATCAGACCTCTGGAGAACTTCTGGACATATTGAGGTCATTTAGCCATTTAAATCAGCTGTGTTGGATCAAGGACGCATCTAAAACCTGCAGGACACCGGCCCTCGAGGCCTGGAGTTCGAGACCCCTGCTCCACACAGAAAGGCCCGGCCAGGAGGTGGAATCGAACTCTGTGAGGCAGCAGCGCTAACCACTGCACCACCGTGCTTATGAATGAATGAAAGTAACCTATCAGCAAAGTGCTACTTATATTCATTCATGAGTCCGTTTCAGAGGCATGTGGTCTGTAAACACTGTGACGTGGACCTCCAGTGACACTGTGAGGAAGCCTGCAGGAACTTTTGTCCTGTAACAGTAAACAGTCTGCCTTCTTTCATCTGAACAACATTGTCTAAAGTAGGGAAGCTCCTGACTCGCAGTGGAGCTGAAAATAAAGAAAAGATTTCTGACTGATTCCTTGTCCTGAATCCAGAATGCAGCACCAAGAGCTGTGGAAGAGAAGTTGTTTCTACACATAGAATGAATTTTTTCATTGGCTTTGAATTGTTCTAAAATTTAAATAAAATCTAAAAAGAGAAATGACTGAAATTGAATTGAATTAAAGATGTTGGAGCAGGGACAAATCTGTACACTGACTCGAACAGTTACTGTCAGAGCCTGAAACGCTGAAGTAAATTGGCCTAATCTGAAGTGATAAATGAGGGGTGCTGTGCTCTTACAGGAGCTGTGCTGCAAAGACCAGGAGAAGGTGGCTGAGGTGAGCCGGGTGAGGGTGGAGCTGCAGGAGCAGATTGGACATCTCCAGGCAGAGAGGACGGCACAGGGAGCACTTAAAGAAAAGATCAGCGCTCTGGAAAGAGAGCTTAAAGGTTCGCCGTCCGCTTTTGTTCCGGTTACTTTTAAACTTTACATAAACTTTGCGTCTTTGTGCCAGGACTGTCTGGAAGCAACAGTGTGACTTGATTCTGTGCTGCTCTCTTTCATGCTGTTCTCTCTCCGGTTTGCCGTCTTGTAGTGCTGAGTAGTAACCACAGGGAGGCTCTTCTGGACAAAGAGAGCGAGATGTCTTCCATGTTGGAGAAGCTGCGACTGAAGGAGGCAGAGATCCATAGGATTAGGGAGGATGAGGCCAACAGAGCCAGCTATTTGCAGAGTGCCGTCCTCTCCTACATTCACGGTTCTCCTCTGGGACACCACAGCAGCCTCCAGAAATGAGCCAGCAGGGCCTCTCTCAGGGCTCCCGCACTGGGCAGGACCAGGCATAGCTCCACAGAGCTGAAGAATATTCTGACGTGGACGATCAGTGCTCAGCAAATAATAACCATACCTAACATAATGTTAAAAAATGACAAATCTCATCAGGACGTGCTCAGTTCAATGGTGTGCTACTTTCTTTTTTTATTGCTACTTTTAATAAATACACAGCGCACTTTTAAGTGCCAACACTTTCCACACGTTCCAGTGAGTGTAGTAGAAAGCAACAAGGTTTTCACATGATGAAAAATAAGAATCGGCTGTGCATTTGTAAAAGGAACTATGGCTTCACTGAATGATGGAGCGAATGGATTTACAGTGGCTGAGGGGAAGAAGAGAGAGCCGTCTGAATAAACACCGATTTCAAAAACTCCTAACAGTCCAGAGGCTGCAAGGCAGCCATCAAACATCTGCAGATGTGTCACAGTCACACAGCTGTTCACACACATCCAGCACATGGTGACTATGACCTTCCACATGTGAAGGTCAGCGCTGCTGAAAGAGTCCTGTGATCAGAACCTGGTCTTGTGTCATAAATTTCCATTTTTATGTCCTTCACTCACACAGTACATGTGATAAACTGTACTTAGCTTTCACTGCAAGCCAGCGTCATTTCTGCCACATTTATCCAGTTTGAGTAAACGTACATGTTTACAGTCAAAATGATATTTGGTTCAGATATGCCTTAATATTGTATACTACAGAGTAGACACTGATGCAAAGCAGGACACCTGCTGTTTTTACATTTTATAATGAAAGTCCAAATAAAGCTGTTGTGTTTCAGGTCTGCTATCAGTGACAAACCAGCGTTGCGTTGTTTTGTGTTAATGCATTGCGAGTCCGTGGTTGATCTGGATTATTCTAACAGATAAGGTTACAGTAGTGATGGTGTGGCGTGTTGTTGGGGTGGGGATGCATGAGGTCACTAGTATTGAAACTGCAGCCAAAGATCATTAACTGCCAAGATGGTTCAGGCACAAGCTTGTGGAGCGTAAAGCTGCTGCGCTGCTGAAATTCATATCCAGGGGATCGGGTCCTTTAAGATTTCTTTTTAATGCGTTGCAACTTTCATCAATTGAAAGTTTCCACTTTCAACAAGGAAACTTGTTCAAGACAAATTTCTTTTGGATCGAGTATATCGAATATGATCAATTCTAAACGTTTCCACAATCTGGCGATTAAGTACGTTTCTGGTCTGCGTTTCTAAATATTTCTGAAGGCAGCGAACACACAACAACTTGTGCGTCTCACGAGGCTTAGCTCGGGACTGTCCGACGGGTTAAACTAAATATCGTTGTGCTCAGTCACGTGGATCGCCCTGTACTAGCTGTCTTTATAACTTAACGTTGTTGGTGTAACGTAAGTAGCATCGCTGGTAGCATGTAGCGATGGCGGAAGTGATCGGAGCGAGCCATCTCTTAGTCTACTGGCGTTCTTCTGTTCCGCCTCTGTCCCTTTAAGAACGCTCGGCACTTCTCGGAGACTGTCGTAACTGCTCGTCATCGACCCTTTTCACTGCGGCTCCATCGCTGAGCGGACTGGCCCGCTGTTCTCGTACGAGACCTCAGCGCTTACTGTCGGATCGGTGAACTCCCAGCGCCGGCTCCCTGAAAGCCTCCAGCTGCTGTCCAAATGCAGGCGATTAAGTGTGTGGTGGTCGGCGACGGGTAAGGGCACGCTCACAGAAACGGCACATTTGTCATGTGGGGTTCAGTGATGCATCCACTGATGGATGGATGATGGGAGGATGCTATGTAGTGAAAAGGGGCTGGGGCTCGGCGATCCGTCGGTCGCCTGTCTTTCTCAGATACAGCTCCACGGGCATCTGCATGTGATCACGTCTTCATCCAGCGCAAAGGCAGGAGCGGAGCATCGAGATGCTGCGGGAACACCTACACGCCTGGTAGGCCATTGAAGGCGGGCTGAAGTGCTGATGCACGCTAAGGAATTTGTGGCCCTGTCAGTGGCAAGCAGCAGGCCCCGCTGCCCTAATTCTGCTCCTACTGCATCCAGATCCCACCCAGCGGCATGTGCACTGAAGTCTGCTGCGAGAGTGCGCCACGCCGTTTGGAAATGCTAATATGATTAGTGGTCGCTGATTAAAGCCACCGGCACTCCTATCAGTTCTTACAAACATCAGGGGCGGCCAAAGGTCTTTTTTATCATCAAAGGCAAAATGGAAAAATAAAAGAATGCTGAGTGCAAATGTTCAATGTGCTGTCTGCACACACTGTGTTTACAGCACGGTGCTGTGTGCAGACACACGGAGCAGTCCAACCTGCGAGCTCAGTTTACCTTTCAAGTCGAGAAGTCCTCGCCTGCCTCCAGAGGGAGCTGGGGCCGCTCGATCCCTGCAGGAGTCCTAGTCTCACTTCTTATTGGTCATTACTGAGATCACACTTCTTTAACACGCATTCAGCAACTTTTAAAACATCGTCCAGTTGCTGAATTTTTAACCTCGAGGGCTTAGCCGGATATTTCCGAACAGCTGCACTGGTTTTATGGCTCTTTCTAACCAGATCATCTGCACTGAGCTAAATGTGCCACAGCCTGCACAAGTGTGAGTCTTTGACTTGTAGAGAAACAGGCTGTCTTGGATTTGTAGCAAAAGTTTTTTTTAAAAATGCAGCAAAATTATATAAGTGTCATTTAAAAAATCTTTAAATAGTCTTTTTTTCATTTTAGAAGCACAGACTGTAAGTAAAGATGGCAGTAGCTTCTGGGTGTGATAAGCAATGGCACCTTAGAGATGCATTACTTCTAATGGCCACCAGGAAAAGACCTCCAGTTTCACCAAAGTCTCTGTGGAAATGATGCTCAGCAGTTCAATCTAGTCTCACCTCGAAGGTGTCAAGTTATACTGATGGCATCACAATGCAGTCACCAGGAAGAATACACCTGGGTCTGCTACTGAGCCGCCGTGTCCGGCTAATGTGAGGATTCAAAGAGCGACAGCGTGACAGTGACAGCGTGACCCCGCGGTGGATCTTTGTTATGCAGTCTGTGGTTGGAATCCACTGACTTTAAATGTCGCACACAGCCCCTGACAGTGTTGTTGAGACCACCGCAGGGCTCAGAAAGCTGTTTCTAACAGGAACCTGCTGTTATGTGCGATGAGGCTGTTTACGAGGTGGGCGGGATATAAAAATGTGTGTTTTTCTCGTCAGCTGCCACAAACAGCTTTAATACAGACTGTACAGATGCTGCTAGCTGTGTGTTTGGTGTCTTCAGATTGTTACCTGGTGCCGTTCACGTTATTTGACCCACGCTGACAGTAGCACACAGGGACGTAATGAAGTGAAGGACAGCACGTCGGGGTCGTGGGCCAGCTTCACACTCGGAGCAGGGATGTGGTATTACCAGCACCTGTGCATTCACTGCTGTACATCTGCACGTGTAGCACTGTGTGTGTTTGTGTAACAGCATCTCTGTTTCCCTGCAGTTGTTTCAACTTCCTGTTCCTGCGGATCTGTTTGGAGACATTTAAACTCACTCATGTGTGACCTTTGTATTATTGCAGGGTTTTACCTTGTTCTGTTGTGTTTTGGTGCTACATAAATAAAACTGAGTTGAAGTTGAAGCGTGTACATCTTACAGCTTCGGCTTGTGCGACGCAGAGCAAATCTGAACCATTTGTGTGTTTTGAGTGAAACAGGTGTGATTGAGAGACGTACTGTGTGAGTCCAGAGGTCTGGAAGTGAAAGCAAAGGCTTTGCATATTTTCCAGGAGACGGGTTCTGCTTGACATCTCCACCTCAGTGTGTGTCACGGTGGTACAGTGGTTAGCACTGCTGCCTCACAGCAAGAAAGTCCTGGTTTTGAACTTCGCATGTTGTCTGTTCCTGCATGCTTTCTCTCCTGCACGGCGGGTAGTTATTCTGAAGCATCATTTCATTTTCACTTGAAGGACCTAAAATCTGCTTGCATATCAAAGCCACGTCGGATTTTTAGAAACGAACTGCGGGGCCTGAGCTTACCCTTTGATGGACTCATTTCTAACCCTGGCCATGTTGGTCCCTCCCAGCAAGCATTTTAGCATCTTCAGCCCTAACTACTTCCTTATTTATGCAGTTCTTACTCTGTGGCCTCTAAGCTCTTGTATCTGTGACACAGTCACATAGATCTTTGGGTTTTGTGTGCTGCTCAAGGACAGCCTGGATGAGCTGGGGATCACACCACCAGTGTTTAGATCAGTAGATGAGCCACGCGATCTTCTGAAGAATAGTCGTAATCATTGAAACTGACTAATGAAGCAGCTGTAAGTGTCAGTGTTTCCCTTCTGACCAAACAGAGTCCCACTGACCTCAAATCACTTTTATATCAGTCACACATTTTGCCACCGCGTGTCACTGCTGTTGGTCACGTCTGTGGAGACGAGCACACAGAATCGCTCATGAGTCATGCATGAGCAGCCAGCCAATACTCATCCATGCCGCCACCAGTAGCATCGAGTGGCTCGAGTCGGAGGGGTGCTGTGGGCCTGTTAGCAGAGGAGAGGTGGGCTATGTCTGCGAGTAACTGTGTGTGGACAGGTATGACCATCTTTGTGGGGACCAAAAATTGGAGGCTTACTATACTCGTGGGGACCAAAATCCCGGTCCCCACGAGTCTGAAGGCGTTTCTGAGACTCAAAATGTGGTTTTACTCGTTCTAGTGTCAGGGTTACATTAGGTTATGGTCAGGGTTAGGCATTCATCTTTGATGGTTGCATTATGTCCATGAGATGTGCGTGTGTGTGTGTGTGGCGCGTGTGTGTGTGGCGCGTGTGTGTGTGCGCGTGTGTGTGTGCGCGTGTGTGTGTGCGCGTGTGTGTGTGTGTGCGCGTGTGTGTGTGTGTGCGCGCGCGTGTGTGTGTGTGCGTGGTGTGTGTGTGTGTGTGTGTGCGTGTGTGCGTGTGTGTGTGTCGTGTGTGTGTGTGTGTGTGCGCGTGTGTGTGTGCGCGTGTGTGTGTGTGCGTGCGTGTGTGTGTGTGCGTGCGTGTGTGTGTGTGTGTGTGCGTGCGTGTGTGTGTGTGTGTGGGGCTACCATAGAAGGCTACTGTGTCCCTAGGCAACATGTATGTAGGCCAATGTCTGTGTGGCACTCAGCTGAAAGGGGATAGAGGCCTCCATTGTGCTCACACATACATGTGGCCTGTTTACGCTCAGGTTTGTATGAGAGTGGAGCTGCAGCCTAATTTTGGATCCTCTGCTGTCACTTCCTCAGGGCTGTGGGTAAGACCTGTCTGCTGATTAGTTACACCACCAATGCCTTCCCCGGTGAATACATCCCCACTGTGTGAGTAACCCGAACACTCCTCATGCTCTCACAATACCACCATGTAACGCTGTAGGGCTGAGCGCTCTGTCAAAGACACTGTGCTGTCTAAAGGTTTCACACAAAGGATTTAATAATAATTATAATAATAATACAGCTGTTCTCCTGCAAGAACTTAGTTGACAAGAAAGAGAACACAGAAAAGAGACGAATGAATGTCGAATGAAATCAGATTAAATAAAAGATATCGCTCATTCAGCGAGCTGCACAGTTCTGTACATCGAGAAACTATCCATGCTTATCGATGGATGATATTTGTAGTATTTATATATTTAATATTGCAAATCAAACAGACTGATGTTATGTATACTCCTTAATGTTTTTTAACTTTTCAAATTTAAGCTGTTAAGATATTTTAGTGTTTATCAGCTACGTCGTGACACAAATGTTACACTTTTAAACCAGCATAACAAAATAATCATGACAACTGTGCCAAGCCCAGAAAGTTCCCTTAAATCCTGTTTTTCAAATATCTGCATCTCA